GAGGCCATGGCTCTCTCCAGTTTATCAGAATTCCGCTCAGCATTCTTTACTTATTACAGTAGCCTGCATGGCTCCTGTCAGCAGTGGCGTTTCTACCACTGAGTATTGTGTCATTTCATTTCTGTAGCAACTCTGTACTATAGAAGTTACTATCCCCCATTTCTGGATGAGAAAACTGAGCCTTAAAGAGAGTTAAGGAGTCTTAGAGAGAAATAATGATGCCAGGCGCTTACTGAGAGTACTTCCTAGGGGCCAGGCTGTGTGCTAAGCTAACCCCCAGTGTAAAGGTGTGAAAAGTGAGGCTCAGAGATGTGATGTCACCTGCCTGTGGTTACAGAAGGAGCTGGGATTTAAACTCAGGTTGGTGTGACACCAGAGTCCATGCAGTGGAGCTGACACCTCCCACCACTGCTCCACCCCTAACCTGCAGCCCTCGCCTCCTGACTACCTCCCACAGGGCCCAGCCTGCACCCCCACACAGCCAAGCCTCAGGGGCATGTACAGACAGCAGGGGCTGCTTCTGGGCTGGAGGGTCAACGAGTCTGTTGTGGCCAGATGGACAGAGACATTGAGCTTAAGGAGGCCTCCTTAAGGCGAGAGACATAATTAACTGGTTGAGCATGGGGATCCAATAAGGCCAAAGACTCCACGCCCAGGGATAAGAAAGATAAGAAAGCCAATTACTGTAAGAAAGGTCTCTTTTCCAATGTGGAAAATACCCCGTCTCTCATAGAACCACATTGCCACTGCCTCCCTGCACATGTTCCCCGAGATTCAGCTTCCCTCGGAATATATATATATATACACACACACACATACATTTTCAAGATTCAGCTTCCCTCGGAATATATATATATATATACACACACACACATACATACATTTTCTTGTACAGAAATGTTAAATTCTCAAGATTAAGTATCTTCAGTTGGGGAAAATCAATTTACTTCTTAGAGGAGGCTGGATTTGAAAGTCGTGAGCCTGAAACTTACTTTCTTGCCAATTTTACTGATAAAAAAAACTCTCTCCAGCCTGGCACATCGCCCTGTATTGGCTGCTCCAAATGATTCCATTAATTGATTTGTGTGACTGGCCCTGAAGCAATGCTTATTAAGGTTCCCACAGGAGCTGGGACAGGAGGGATGACTCAGAAGCCATAGGTATGGGATGTTGACTACAGCTCAGGCCATGATCGGAACTCAGCCCTCTGATGACCAGGCCCAGGGAGATGAGAGAGGGGCCCAAGACTCGAGGAGGGGCGGTAGTTGTATGCCCCCCTGCTTCAGACATGCCAGAGGGAAAGGGGTGCCTGGAATCGCCCAAGGACAGAAGGATAGAACTTAAGGGGAACAGAGACCACAAGTGGATGTGTTTGAGAATGGGGACCCCAAGATATAGGACAAGCACAGTGAGTGGCCATTCTAGGGAAGCAGATTTCAGACTCATCTGCCTAAAAGTGACGGAGGTCGTGAATTTGTTAACACCGGAGCTGACAGAGAAGAACCCCTTGAAACCATCACAGCCAGCTTCATGCCTCATTGTCCCCTCGCATCTTAACTGACCCAATCTCTCTGGTGTCCTCTCCCATCTACCTCATTCTGTTCCTTTACCCACTGGAGGCTTTCATGTGTCTTTCCTCAAAGCCTACTGGTTTCAACACTCTAGTCCCCACTGCGAATTTCTGTCTCTATTTACGTTGTAGTGTCATTGGGAAGAGCATATGTATTGATGTCAGGGAGACCTACGTATAGGAGGAATGGGGTGTCAGGGGGAGGATGCAGGAAGGAGTTTTCAGAAAGAGGAGAAATTCTTATCCTATTCTGAGACAGAAGGAGTGGGGCAAGTCTCCCTGAATGGTTCATTGTCAAGTTACTTTTGCCAGGGCTCAAGGTTTTACCAATGGCTGACTGTGAGTGGGAGAGTAACTAGGTAAAATGAGTAAGGTGGATGGGTGGTTAGGTGATGGATAGATAGATAAGAGGATGGATAGATGGACAGATGGTTGGATAGATGGATGAATGGATGGATAAATAGGTAAAAGGATAAGAGGATGGTCAGATAGTTGAATGAATTAGTACATAGTGTGTGGGTAAGACCATTATATGAGGGCATGGTGAATGGATGGATTGCATGCATGCCTTGAAAGTGTAAGGGGAGCCGAGCCCTGATGGCCTCATCAACCCTTTGTTCCAAGCTCTGGTAGAAGGAAAATTTGGAAAGCAAGAGAGACTGAGATGGAAAAGGAGCTGAGGTGCTGAAGCCCCTGATGGGAGAATAGTGTTTAGTTACAATAACCAGGAGGGCAGAGTATCCGAGGAGCATGTGTACCTGGTAAACAGGGATGATTAGACTTGGATAAGGTGGATAAGACTTGGAAAGGGAACATTATTAGAGGAATAGTCAGCATTGATTAACTGAAAAAGCAATGATATTAGGAACAGAAGCAGCTTGTGTGAAAGAGAGTGTATCAGTTATCTGTGGCTGCATAACAAATCACACAAAACTTAGTGTCTTAAAAAACGGCACCATTGTGATCGCACCATCTGCAGCTCAGGAATTAGCGTAGCTTAACTAGATCCTCTGCACAGAGTCTCGCACAGGCCACCTTCCATTCACAGCCCACATTCAAGGCGTCGTCAGCTAGTACTGCAGTCATCTCAGGGCTCTGCTTCCAAGCTCACTCATGTGGCGACTGACGGGATTCAGTTCCTCCTTGGCTGTTGAACCGAGGGCTTCAGTTCTCTGTGGACTGTTGCCTAGAGGCTGCCCTCCCTTCCTTGCCATGTGGTCCTCTCCGTGGGGCAACTCACAGCATGGCAGCCAGCTTCCTTCAGGGCAGCAAGAGAGAGTACAAGCAAGATGATAATACAGTCTCACATAACCCAGTCGCTGGAGTGACATACCATTGCTGCTGTGGGGAGTTAAAAGCAAGTCTCTAGGCCATCCCACGTGCAGGCATAGGGATGACACAAGGACAGGAGTCTCAGGGATGGGGATCACTGGAGCCATATAGAAGCTTCCTACCACAGAGAATCTGGGCAGGAAAAGTAATAGAATGAGAAAGGACCTAAGGAATAAAAGAAGCTGGAGGAGAGGGGAGAGTCTGGATATCAGAAATTTTCTAGAAAAATGGGAAGTGTCTAGGAAGTCAGAGAGCTGGAAGTTGGGAATGTTTCTAAGGGCGATAGTAGCAGTGGGGGAGGGGCATCTGGGCTGCAGGAGTTGCTGAGGTGGAGGAGTAGTTGGGAAAATGGACTAGCTAGAGAGCACAAAAGGTTTGAGGCAAGAGTCGCAGAGGTAAGAGAGTAACTGTGGAGGTGGAGTAGCTGGAGAACAAGAACTGCTGGAAAGAGGTCAGGCTGAGGCCCCTGAGGAGCTGGGAGCAGCCAGCTTGCTGCTCTGGTGGAACCCACTGAAGCTCCAGGCATCGGAGCCCTCCCAGATCTTTGGCTTTCAGAGTCAGTAAATTTGCAGATGGTGCAAGGGCCATTTATCTGTGATGGTTCCCCCAGACCCTGTGCCCAAAGGGAGCCATCACTGGTACTTGACAGATTCTGGGCTCAAATGGAATTCACAGTGGGGTCCTGCCTGCTGCTCCAGGTCCCCCTCCTCCCGTGGTGTGCCTGAGTCTCCAGGAGCCACTTTCAGAAGGGACAGTCCTTACAGAGCTAGGGAGCACCTGTAGAGTAGAAGGTGCACTTTCTTCCCAGCTTCCCCCCACCCCCACTGCCCTGACTCCTGGCAGACACAACTTGTTCCCCACCCCCTGCCCATCCCCCATTCCTGCACTAGCCTGTTCGAGCACAACCGTGCCATCACGCACACCGGAGCTGGGCCGGGTGCCAGTCAGACAGGCTGACATCACAGACAGGCATAGCCAGACTTGGAAACTGGTGGGTACAATGGGGCCTGCAGAACCACCCGCTCCCCTGGGACCAGCGGGGCAGGGCCAATCGCTGCTGGAAGCCGGCCGCTGGCAGGCACTAAGTTCCCAAGAAATCTCATGAATGCCATGCACTCCGGTTTGCCCATTCTCCTTAGCAGCAGAGGACATTCAGTGTCAGCCCCCTTTCCCAGCCCCAGTGTCCTCTTTGAGTCTCCGCAGCCAGGCAGGGCAAGTACAGCTACCTACCCAGCAGGCCTAGTCCTAGGGATGCTGGTTCCATTCACGCAGCAGCATCTAACCCAGGACGCTCTGGGTACGAGGGGATAGGGGGCCTGCAGGCACCTGCTCTGACTGCCCCTGCTCCTCTCCCTACTCTGCAGTTCTCACTCTGCTTCTCTTTCACTATAATGAGGTAGACCAAATAGCAACCTCGCCTCGAACAAAATCTCCCCCTGGGACACGGTACATCAGAGGGGGCCCCTTCGGTTGAAGTGGGAGTGAGGGACCCAGGACCCACCGAGCTTTGCCCTCATTGGCATCCACCTCTCCCTGTCTCCCCTCACAGTGGTTTCTGTGAGGCCGTGCAGTTCAGTGGTTAGGAGCATGGACTCTGGAACCAGATGGTCTGGGTCTGAAACCTGGCTTTGCCACTTAGTATCTGAGTGACCTTAGGCAAGTTACTTAGCCGTGCCTCAGTTTGCCCATCTGTAAAATGAGGCTAACGTACCTGCCTCCTATGATTGCTGTGACGAATCAATGAGTAAATGCAGGTAAAGCACATAGAACAGGGCCTGCATGTGTAATTGTTTCATAAATATTAAGGAAAGAAAATTGACTTTATGAAAGTCAGTGTGAAAACCACTTGTGCCATCGCAAAGATCCCAGGGCTTCCAGGGGGTTGGGCCTGAGCCTGAATCTCGGCTTTATCACTTGCCATCTGTGCGTTTTGGGACCTGCCCTTCCAGGGCCTCAGTGTCTACCTCTGAGCAATGTTCTCACTCTGGGGACTGGAGACAGAGGTACACGCCCTGAGCCTTGTCCCCGGGGCGAGCAGTGCTTGGCTCCTGGTATGCTCAGTAACTGCGTATGCATCGCTCCTCCCCTTGTGGCCCAGAAATCCAAGATCTCCACCTTCGAGAAGATGTGGGCCTTCATGAGCAGCAAGCCCTCGGCGCTGGTGAAGAACAATGAGGAGGGCATCCAGAGGACCCTGACGGCGGACTACGCGCTGCTCATGGAGTCCACCACCATCGAGTACGTCACCCAGAGGAACTGCAACCTCACCCAGATCGGGGGCCTCATCGACTCCAAGGGCTACGGCATCGGCACACCCATGGGTGAGAGTGGGGCTGCCGGCGGGAGGGCGGGGGGCCGGGCAAGGCCCCCACATCCACTCCCACACGCAGTCTCCCGCTCCTTCTCCCAGCTCCTCCCACGGAGCCTAGAAAGGTGGCATTCCCTCAGCCCAGAGATGAAGGGGCGGAGCACGTACCTTGCGAGGTCAGTCCTGGCCTAAGCAGAGAACTGGGGCAAACAAACACAGAGGTGGGGGTCAATCGAAAGGTCACAACTGCTCTCTCTGGCCTCACCCCTGTTGATGCAGCCCAGATACAGTGTGCCTTCTGGGGGCCCGTGGAGACAGAGATTCATAGGTAAGACTCCCCACTCCAAATCAGGACCCTTCCTCCCATCCAAATGCCACATAGAGATATAAAGAGAGGCAATAGAGTCCCCCTTTTTTATGAGCTTACTGGGAGGGTGAGTGATGGTGCCTGGCACTGATCAGGGTGTTGGCGGGGACGTACGGAAGGGGCAGGATGCTGCTGACAGCCGGGATCCGCTCTGCCCTGCTCAGGCTCCCCGTACCGGGACAAGGTGACCATCGCCATTCTGCAGCTGCAGGAGGAGGACAAGCTGCACATCATGAAGGAGAAGTGGTGGCGGGGCAGCGGGTGTCCCGAGGAGGAAAACAAGGAGGCCAGCGCCCTGGGGATCCAGAAGATCGGGGGCATCTTCATCGTCCTGGCTGCCGGGCTGGTCCTGTCGGTGCTGGTGGCCGTGGGCGAGTTTGTGTACAAGCTCCGCAAAACAGCAGAGCGCGAACAGGTGAGCCCACGAGCTGGCGCCTGCACGGGGAAGGGAGGGAGATGGAAGAACGGAATGTATGCTGGTCTCACACCTCGTATGTGCCAGGCACACGGTGGTGTCTGATTCCATTTCCACTGTAGCCCACCCTGCATCCCATCCACCAGGAAGCCTGGCCAGCCCCACCTCTGCACTGACTCTGAGCACACTTTCCCATCACTATTGCTCCACGCCAGGCCACACCCCATCATCTCCAGCTGGACCATGCAACAGCCTCCAGTCAGGCCTTCCTGCCCACTCTTCCTCTCTACCATCCGCTCTCCACCCACAGCCAGTGAGTGCCTTGTTTCAAACTTGATTCGAACTATGTCATTCCCTTGCACAAAACCCTCCAGGGTAATTGTTGAAGCTGGGCGATGGTGACATAGGGGTTCATTATACCGTTCCCACTATTTCTGTATATATTTAGAAATTTCCATAATCAAAAGTTGAACAAAGAAAAGGGTTAAGAGACCTGGCCTAAGCATTAAGATGGGAGAAGTAGACTCAACCAGCCTGATTAATTCAAGTGTGGCTGGGCAGTGGTTCTGGATACGGGTAGCAAATTAGAATCACAGGGAGAGAGTTTTTTAAGTGCTAATGCCCTGGCCTCACTCCCGGAGATTCTATTTTAATTGGTCCGTGGTGGAATCGGCATCTTAAGAAAGTGTATGGGGTGATTTCAGTGTGCACCTGAGCTGAGGGCCACTGGGCTAAGGGACGCACCTCTCACAGAGAAGTTCAAAGTGATACAGGGTCAGCGTGGGAAGAGATTGCAGTTCAGTCACATGTACAGGAGACTATTAAAAACAGGCAGCTTTTACAACCATCAAAAATGAAATGGAGTCCTTTATAACCAGTAAGCCTGAGTCAGCAATGCACCAAATGGAAGTGGTCAACTATATGTGTGGTTTTATTTCCAAAGATATTCATTGAAATATTAATTAGTTCATGAAAAAAAAATGGGAAAAATAACTGAATGCCCAATAATAAGGAATGGCTAAAAAGATTACGATACGTTAAAAGAAATATTATAGGAATTTCCATTACAATCAGAATGAGCTCCAAATTCCAACCAAAAGCCTACGGATCTGGTCCTTGCCCATTTCTCTGACTTCCTCCTTCCCACCCTTCCCTCCCTTACTCTGCTCCGCACACACTGGCCTCCTGTTCAGTCCTTAACACGCCAAGCACGTTTCAGCCTCAGGGCCTTTGCACATGCTGTTTTGTCCACCCACAGTGCTCTTCCCCCAGGGCACCATATTCTCCCAACCCCTCTCTATCCCATTCCGCTGCTTTATTCTCTTAGTAATAGTTACCACTCTCTGAAATTCTTTATTCGTTCACATGTTTAGTATCTGTTTCCATCCCATCACGAGACCATAAACTCCCTGAGGACTAGGACCTTATTCTGTCATTTTCACTGCTGTATGCCTAATACCTAAAATAGCGCCTGGCACATAATAAGAGATCAATAAATAATTTCAAGTGAAGAAAGGGAGGTGAGGAGAGATGATATTCTGGATTTAGTGGGTAAACAAGGGGGAATTTGGAGAAATCGCATGGCTGATAAGAGGCAGAGCCAGGATTCAAAGCCAAGTCCCATTCCCCTGCACCACACAGACTGCATACGAGCTTCCTGGGTGCCGGCGCCCTGCTCTTGCTGGGTAAATGGAGACATTGACAGCCCCCACTGACTTCCTGACACGCTGCAGGACAACCTCTGCCATCAGAGACCTGCAGGCGATACCGTACTTTGCTGTCCCTCTCGGGACTCACAGGGACCCAAGCCAGAGGAAGTGACTGCCACCCAGCTGCCCCGCAGGGCCCTGCCTCCCAGGAGCCCACCCTGAGAAACATGTGCTGGACTTTCCTGAGTGGGAGCGCAGTGACTCTCCCCTTAGTTGGAAGCCCTCACAGGGGAGAGGGGGTCATCCACATAGTCATCAAGTGTTTCTTAAACCCCAACTCTGGGCCAGAACCAGTGGTGAAGGCCAGGCTCATGGCAGGAAAACTGGTTGGTTCTTGTCCTCAGAATCTAGTGGAGAGAAATCAGATAGGTAAATTCAAATTTTAATGTCCTTACCAATCAGAGCCTGTTTGCTCATCGGTAAATGGAGATAAGATGATACCACTTACCTTAGTGTCCAAAACAAGAACTCGATGCTCTATAGGCTGCTACACAAACTAGTTATCTTACGGGAGCAGAGGGTGGGTGGGATGAAGGGATTGGAGAGACCGGTGACCTTAGCACAGGCTTGGGAGGAAGCGTGGGAGTTTGCTGGAGTTGCAGGGCCACGCCTCACCCATGTGCCCCCTTCCCTCCCACCCCTATCCAGCGCTCCTTCTGCAGCACTGTGGCCGACGAGATCCGTTTCTCCCTCACCTGCCAGCGTCGGGTCAAGCACAAGCCGCAGCCTCCCATGATGGTCAAGACTGACGCCGTCATCAACATGCACACGTTCAATGATCGCCGGCTTCCAGGCAAGGACAGCATGACCTGCAGCACGTCATTGGCCCCCGTATTCCCCTAGGCACCAGTAGGGTGGGGACCGCAGGCCTGGGGGCAGGGTGGAGGAAAGCAAAGGAGACTGGAAGGAATGTCCCATGTCCCCGTGCTGGGCTTGGGGACCAGAGCTGCTGCCTGCCTATTGGGCCAGGAGCCCTCTGCCCTTACCCACCAGGAAACCAGCAGGCCCCCTCAGGCCAGCTGCTTGGGCTTCACTCTCCTCTCGTTTCTTCTATGGGTTTCTAAAGCTGCCAGCCGAGACAGCCAAGGCCAAAGGAAGCACATGCCTCTCTCAGGCCAAACCTACCTGCCCCTCAACTCTCCTCTACAGTCAGAAGTTTCTACCACGGCCCTACAGAGGCCGAAGAAAATAGACAACAGTTCTTTTATTGCCACCTCTTCCCCATGAGCCCAGGTCTCCTGGGGCTTGACTATGAGTCCAGAGACACAAACCTTGGGCATCTTATGGATGTGATAGTTTGGCAGCCAGTGGAGCTGAAGATGGAGGACGATTACCCTACATGCCTGGGCAGAAAGAAGACTTCATCCCCCAGGCCATGCTCACGTGGTCCTGAACTCCTGGACTTGGTGCCACCCATGGCAATCCCTGTTTTGGCAAAGTCTAAAGCAGAGAGCCCCACAGGGGAAAAGAGGAGTTTGGGGTCCGGGAGAGAAGAGAATGCACAGAAGCCACCATTTTAAATTTTTACAGGCAATGTCCAATGGCTCCCACTTCTCTAGGTGTCTAAAGCGAGGGAGTAGTCAGAGCAAATGCTTCTCCACTTTCTGGCCAGAGGAGAGAGGACCCCCTGAATGTCTCACAAAGGATGCCCAGAGATTCAGCCAGTATTTGAAGTCCAGAGGAACAATAGATTCCAAGGAAATCCCACAGGGCCTCAAGCCATCGGATCTTAATTTGCCGGTTACCAGGCTGTGTTCTGAACCCTGGTGGCATTCGGGAGCTTGGGCTCTTCGCCATCTACTCATCAGCAACATGCCGTTCCTGGTCAGTTGACCTTGAGCTCCTTCTGTCATCTTGGAAGAAGAGTAGCCAAGATTAAAGTGAATGTCAAGTCACCCCTTTTTTGAAAGAGGGGTCCGGGTCCTACTACACAGGCTAATTTGGGGGTAGATAGAGAAAGCCAAAGGGGTCCTGAGGAACTCCTGGCCTCTTGGACTTGCCAAACCTAAAGATATCCTCCAGAGAAAGAAAAATTTTAGAGACAGGATATCATGGCTGGTAGAGGCTACAAAGGTGGAAAGAGAGAAGCTGCTTCCTGGAGAATTAACCAAAGACCCCATACGGAGACCCAAGGCCACTGTGGCCCCTGGTCTCTTGTCCAGAGCAGCTGGGACCTTGCAAGGCTTGGGGGTACAGCAAAGAAGTAGTAGCAGATGGGGTACCAGTGAGGAGTAGACCAGATTATCTGTGAGTTCCAGGTAGCTGTGTTGGATGCTCTAGAGGTCTATGACTTTAAGATTCTGGAAGAAGAATAAGACATGGAAGGGTTAGGAGCAAAGTGTCCTTAAAGAGAACAAGATGGGACCGGCAGGGCTTCCCATGGCTAAGGGCAGAGGGCGGTTTTTGAGCAGGGGAAGGGGGCTGGAGATTCTGGACAGGGACCCAGAAGCACCAGCCACCCTCCTCCCCTTCTCTCCTGTCTCTGCTTGAGGAGTCTGGTTAGGGAAGAGCTACATTTAGGTCTCAAGGACCTTCTCAGTTGAGGTGAAGAGTTGTATCTAGCGCCCCCAGGGACTCACAAAGCAGGAGACCACAGTGGGCTCATGTGATAAGTAATGTCCCTCCTACAAATTGGGAGCTGCAGGATCAAACTAACTGGTTCCCAGAATCACAGCAGCTCCAGGAGGCTGTGTGCACTGGACGTGGGGAAAGAGGGCTGGACATGCAGCATAGCAAACACATGTAACGACAGGAAAAGCCATGCTGTTGTGAGCTTCTGGGTGCAGGAGTGTGTGTGTGTGTGTGTGTGCGTGTGTGTGTGTGTATGCGCGTGCGTGTCCATGTGCGCGCACGCGCGGGTGTGTGTGCATAAATGTGTATCTGTGTCTTTGTATGTGCGAGCTTTGGGGGCTGGGGGAGGACAGATTTGGACATGTACTGAGTCCAGGGCATGCAATAATAAGAGAATCCTTTGGGTTCTGATGTATGTGTGTATGTGTGTGTGCGTGTGTGTGAATTGAGGATAAGGGAGACAACTCTGGACAAGCAGCAGAGCCCCATACATGTAAAAACAGGAGAAGCCATGTCATAATGGGGTTCTGGTGAATACATATATGTACACATGCACAAGTGAGTGTATGTGTGAGTGTGTATGCGTGTATATTGGTGCACCAAATGGCAGAGGGTGGAGGACAGGATAAAAACCTGCAGCATTGCCAAATATGTTTAAAAGGAAAAGCCATGTCATCAAGGGGTCAACGTGTGAGTATGTGTGCACATGTGTGTGTGGGCTTGTGTGTGCAGCAGAGACCAGGAGGGAGGACAGAACCAGACAGACATGTAGCACAGGTGAATGCATGTCATGTTTGAGAAGCCATGTAGAACTGGAGTTTGTGAGTCTGTGTGTATGCTCACATACATGTGTTCAAATGCACACATATGTTCCAGCTCACTACAGGAGCAGAGACGGACAATCAGGAAGGCAGGGAACCAGGGTCTCTTTGCACTTCTGCCGTGGGGAGAGATCATTTGTCACAAAGACTGGCCAAGATTGTCTAGGCATAGATGCAGGGAGACTGGCCAAGTGGGAGCACAACACTTCAGGGACTCATGGCTGGTGGCTCTTTTGCTCTAGGCAGAGTGCCCTGTTTGAAGGAGAAATGACCTGTTTTCACAATTTCCAGGTAACAGGATTCTAATGAAGGAATTTGACCTTTTGCTCCACCAAACGCAGATATTAACTACTGTCTTTTTTTATCCAACATAATTTCTTAGCATATACCCACATCCATGCTTATATCACACACACACACATGAATGCTCCATGAACATGTCGTGTTCTTTTGAGGCTACGCACATAGACAGACTGTTGGGAAAAAGAAAAGGAAGTGGCACCGGGTGGGAAGACTTCATCAAGGGAGTGACGAATGGATATCAGAAGTACGGTTCAGTTAGGGAAGTCCCCCAAAGATACCGAAATGATGTTTAGGATCCTAAACAGAAGTGGGATGACATGCTGCCTGATCTCCTGTCCCATTCGAGCCTTATGTCCATATGTGTGGCTAGTGTTCAACTTCTGGCTAAAGTCTTGTGTTTGTCTTCGAGACCAGCCCAGGATTCAAAGTGCAGCGGAAACCACTTCTGCCCAAGTATCAGTTGTGTCTCTCCCAGGAGACTAAGGGCGCTGCTACATCGCGGAGGGTGAGGGGTGGGGAGAATGTGTTCCTAGCGAGGGTCATGTAGAATTAAAGCTTGGGTCCACCTGCCAGGTAATGTGGAACTGAGCAGCCGCGAGTGCTGTGGGTGCACACACAGAGACACTGAGGTCAGGGGCTGCGAGTGATGAGGAGCAGAAAAGCTGGTTTGGATGGAGCAGAAGATGGGGACTTGCCTGAGCAGGTGCTGGACTGTCTCAGTCTGGCCCTACACGCCGGCCCTAAACAAAAGAGTACCCCCACCTTTCATCCCCATCTCCCATCCCAAAATGCCAGTGCCTCCTCTCAACCTGCTAAATCTGGCCAAATTGAGGGGCAGCAGTAAGGAGACACACACACACACACACACACACCCCGCCAAGGCCCTTGAGCTTTTGGACAATGAGCCCTCCTTATCTCTTTCCCCCTGACCTATTACTGGTTTCTCTGCTGTGGACAGATAAGAAAACCCTAAGAATTTTGTCACTGTTCAGGCGGTCCCACTCTGCAAGTCTCTCAAGAGGAATAATGCCCCTTGCCTGATGAGCTGACTGACTCTCTGAAGTATGGGTGGGCCTCCCCCCATCATAGCCAAGCCTCAACTAGAGGAGCACACTGCCTACCTCCCCATGCCTGGGCACCAGCAGATGGGAATTCTGGCCCAGATGGGGGAGGGGACCTGCGATGTTGGGTGAAGACACCAAGTGGCTAGAAGTCACTCCCCCTCCTTAAGCTCTCACAGGGCGGAAGTCAGACCAGAACAGTCAGAAACTCCCTCCCTGCCTTCTTTTCCAGAGGGTGCTGTGTGCAGGTTTGCAGCTGCTGCTTCATCACTCAGCATGAAGCTAATCCCTTCCAGAGCCATCCCCAGATATATGCACAAACATCTGGAAACAGGCCAAACTCTGGGCCATGTCTGGAATGGCCCTGTGTGGAAGGGCCTAGCTCTGGTAAAACAGCTGTACGGACTTACCATCTGAGACAGGCCCAGCCCCCTAGACAGATATAAAAAATGAGCCCAACCCTGTAGACAGGTCTCTGGAAGAGACACATCTGGAACAGTCTCCCAGCTTGGGTGCACGTGTCTGGAATGGGCCCAGTGTCTTGCCACAGTGGAAGGGCCCTACCCTCTGTCCCCATGCCGGTTTGAATCAAGCCTTCATTTCAGTCCTTCATTTGCCCTGGAGTTAAAATTTCAGGGCTGAGGCCATACATGAAGTCACAAAACTGTTTTTGGTAGAAGGTGAATGTTCTGTACAATATATATATGAATGTAAAAAGATATATATATATATGCTGTATATATATATATATATGCACAGTGTATATATGACCTGTAGCCCATGTGTATATGCACCCCTCCCTGCACGTCTGCACACGAAGTGTACATAACCCAGCCAGTATGGGTGGGGACTAGGTGAGAGATGGGGGCTGCAGCAACGAAGTCTGGGATGGAGGCCACCTGGGGCAGGGGCTGCAGAGAGCCCCCTAGGGATGGGGAAGGCCCTCCATACACCAGCGCTGCAGACCCTAAGGAAGCGGGCAGAACCATGGAGGCTGGTGCATGGGCCCTTGCGCAGCCAGTGCCTCTTGGGGAGAGGCAGGTGTGGCGAAGGAGCCTCGTCTCCATCTGAGAGTGTCTGAAGCAGGACAGCACGGCCTGTGTCTGGGGAGCAATGTCATGCCAGTACTAGGCTCCTGAGACCTATTCTAATACCTGGCTGCACAAGCACCAGGTAGATGTCAAGCTTTACCTGGAATATCCTAAAAGGCTGGAGTATTGCAGGTGGCCGAGGCTTCTGCTTCAAATTCTCACCCAGACACAAGGGCACAGCTCATAGCTAGGGAAAACACTTTTTAAAGAGAATGGCCCTGAGGACATTGCCAGCATGCCAGTATGAAGTCCTAATGTTCAAGTTATTGACCCTGCCCCCATCCCCTGCCTTATAAAACAGACCTCAAATCAGCCCGCAGTGTGTCTCTACGAATCAAAATTCTGAGGCTTCAGGTATTGGGAAGCAGCTGCCAGCAATGCCAGCAAAGAGTTTGTCCCACCTCAGACCACCTCCCCAGCCCCATGTGACCCAGAGGCCGGATGTCATAGAGTGATCAAGGAGCCAGAGATGTGAGCAGAGTAGTGATATGGGTGAAAGATGAGAGGCCAACAAGGCACTTCCTGTCCTAACACGGCCCATGCCATCTGTCTGCCTTCTCTCCCCTGCAGTACTTCTCCAAGCAGGGCAGTTGGCAGAGAGCCCCCCACAGAACCCACAGACCTCTATCCCTGCCCCTCTCAGATCCATCTGTTCTTTGCAGTTCTGACCTTTTAGCTAGTGGTCCTGCCCTGTCATGGGTCATAGCATCTCTGGAGCATGCAGGAAAGAAGAAATCTGGGGTCGGCTTCCGTGTGGTCAATGGCTGGCCCCTCGCTTCAGCCCCATGCATCAGGCTGGTCTGCACTTAACTCTGGGTCTGCCC